CAGATGGTTCAGGGCAGGAATGCTACTCCAGTTCCTCCCTCCAAGCAAAGAGTAGAGTGACTTGAGCTGGCTTTTGCAATACTCAGTAGCTGTTATTTTTTCTAGTATGTGCTTTTAATTTGTTTGCAGAATGAGCCAGCTGTGAAAAATACTGTAGCTTATGTATCAGTAAATATTGTGTAGAAAAAATAGCATCATTTTAATACTTTGATGTCTCATTCAGAGGACACTATTCACTAAGTGGCATTGCTATGGATTACATGAGTTGGTTTTGGTCAAAGGAAACAGTGAGCTTCCCTGAGAAGCACTGGCCAAGCCGCTGGGCAGAATTTGCATTTCGCTCTTGCCATTTCCTCCTACCACCTTCACCTGATCTCAGTGGAGCACATTCAAGGACCTTGATGCATTCTGTGCATTGACAAAGGCCTTTCCTTACACAGCTCCTAGCACCACAAAATCAGAAGTTATACCAGAAGTTAAATCTTCTGTTGTGATTCCTTTTTTTAATGCTGAAAAGTAATGGGAATGGGCAGCTTTAGTTTTCTAAACTTAACTTTCAGCAGTGACTCATTCTCTCCAAAAAGAGACTTTAACCTCTTGTGACCTTGCTGTTTCAGTGAGATATGGCAGCTTTAAAATTAGAGAATTTAACCCAGAAGCATCACGTATCTACTGCCTTTCCTCTGCAGAACTGCCAAAGTTTGCAACTTATTCTTTTAACCACCTTCTTTAGGGATCTGGCTACTAGAATTAGTTTCTTCCATTAGCATCCTGCCTTTTCTTCACAAATAAGTCCCTTTTTCTAGCCTGGAGTTAATTTCTGTGATAAAAAGCTTCAGACTGGGAATCCCTTAAGTTCCAGAAGGTAAATAAACATGCAATATGCCAGATATTTTGATGTGAGTTTGTTTTTGTTTGGTTTGGTTTGGTTGTTTTGTTTTGTAAGTTTAATAATGTTTTTGAAAAGTTAAATAACATTTATTACATCTTCCCTTTTGCTGCTTTTCTTGTGGGTTTTACCTTGTCTTTATGTGGAGCTGACTATACTGTCATTTTGGTTCTTAAAATCACTGTCACAGGCATTGGGACTATTTGTATGTAGAATTGGAGAAGGTGAATTTTCTCATGTGTGTAGAATTGGAGAAGGTAAGCTGGGACTCAAGCTTACCTACCCACCTACAGCTGACCTGTTTATTTTTCTGATACATTAAAGTGGGAAAGCTAACTTATGTTACAGGCCAGTATCAAGAAAATGAATCAATTGCAAGAGTCATATAATTCTTACTTTAATAGTATTACCCACATTTTTCTGAGTGCCTACACCCATTTTTAAACATGATGCACAGTAAAAATTATTTTCAATTTTAATTTGTTCTTAGAAAATCATTCTGATGCCAATGTAACCTTTTGCACTGATTATTTTTAGATACTAGATAGTAATGACACATTTCTTACTAAAAAAGCAAAAAATAGACAAACAAAAAAGCCATGAGAATTTTAGGGCTAAGAAGTTTAAGTATTTGCATATTACTGTAACACAAATAATCACTCAAAGTATGATGGAAAAGCGTGCAATAAGCTTTTAAGAAGTTCTAATTAATTTGTCCTCTGATATCAGTTTCATTTGTTGGAGACTTGGTTGTTTGGGGGTTTTGTTTCATTTACTTTGTGTGTATACTGTTGTGAATAAAAGCCTTTGGTGTTTCTGCAGCGTTCTAAAAGTATTTATGCTCATGTTAAAATTCATGGAAACTAAGTCTTGTTGCTAGAACCCTGGAGATACAGCTAGGTCTCTTACCCAGCCTCTGGAGGGAAAAAAATTAACTCACTTCAGTCCCAATTGAGCAAATAGGCCCTTAAATAAAAGGACATGAGCAATTCCTCTGGAGTACAGCGAGAGCCTTCTGAAGTTAATGTGCACACAGGCGTGGGGATGGGGAGAGCCTCCCCCCTCCTTCTTGGCCTTCATTTCATCCATGTTCCTTAACTCAACCTTCTTGTGTTGTTTCCCCCTGTTCCCTCCGCTCCGATGGCTGCAGGGAAGTGTGCAGGTGCTGCCAGGATGCGGTTCCTGGCAGGCTCAGCCGTGTCCCCTGCAAGCTGAGCCCGGGCTGAGCCGTGGGCAGCAGGACTGAGCGCGGCAGCACCGCCCGGGCTGCTCACACAGCACAGAGGGAACTCCCTGCACGCTGCTCAGAGCAAATCCATCCTGGGATACTTCCTTTGGTTTTTGGTTGGGCTGTGCCAGCAGGGACACCGACCTATGAGAGCTTAACAGGGTGTCCAAACCAGTGAGCTAGAGCTTAACTAGTGTCTAAACTTCCCAGCTCTGTATTCCAGCTGTGCTGTTCTTCTGATTGCTAAAAAACGAGATGGTGGGAGTGTGGCTTTGTTTTTATTGATAATAATAATTTTATTGGCAATAATTACAGAAAACGGTTCCAGATGGAAAAATCTATTTGCTCAGACCAGATCTCTAAAGAGTATCTTCTCTAAACTGCAAAATAAAACTTTTCTGTTGCAATTCAAAGCCTCTTGTGCTTTCAGGAAAGCCAAGTGTCTTCACAAAGGTGTTGTTCTATCCAGGCCTCAGCAGATTTGGTCACAAAGAGCCAAGAGATAAAACAATAACCTGTGACAGACATTATTCTACTAAGAAATTGTTATGCCTTCCCAATCATATTGGTCATCATTGGCATCCAGGTGCTGCAGGAGGATAGGTAACTGGGAAGAGCCTGCCTCCAGAGCCCAAACCAAATACATGACATAGCAGAACACTATTGAGGACTATAGAGCCTGTTCATTTTTTTTGTCACTGCTTTTATTTGGCTGCAGTACTTCAGCCCATGGCTCTGCCAGCTCAGCTGCTGTACACAATTCACTTTATTTAATAGGAGAGAAGAAAAGGAACCAGGAATTTGCTTAACAGCACTGTGAGATGGTTTTGGTTACTCACATCTCTTGGCCCACACAGCAAAATTTAGGGAGGAAAGAAGTCCTTTAGAAACACATACAGCATGTTGACACCTCAGGGCTCGAATGGAGTTTGGCAGAGAAAGCCTAGATGGGAGGCAGGCTGCTTCAGCAGATCACACCTGAAAGTGATCCTGCTTAGCCCTGCTGCAATAGAGTGTTTCACTGAAGTGGAAGCTTTTATGGCAATTTTTCCCAGTGAAACTGAGGTAGAATATAAAGAAAAGTGATATGTTGCCTATTGGCTTAACAAAGCAGAATGAATATGTTTCTTCAGGATAATAATCAGGTATTAGGAGCTTTGCTTCATGTCGTGTATGAACACATCCTTTGATTTATTAATTCAAAACTTATGTATAGTTAAAAATAGCTAAATTATCTTTATAGAGGGGAAAGACACTTTTCTCCTTTCACCTTCCTGTTTGTAGTGGCTTTTCCCATTAAAAGAAGACTTTCCAGGGATATCAGTTGCAGAAATGTTCACCAGGCACATTGCCCTGTCAATCGCTCTCCCAAGCAGATCTTCCTTATGTCCTGCCATGGTCTCATGGCTTTTTGGGGAGAAAAGTTCCACCCCATGATAGGGGTGTTTTCTTCCCCTACAAAACTGGAGGATGGGAGGACAAAGGGAGCCAACCCACCCATTGGATTTACCCCAGACTGTTCTGGGCATCCCCTGACATGGACAGGTTTGTCCATGTTTGCCCACTTGGACAAACCAGCATCCCAGCTCCCATCCCCACTTGTCATGGTCCATGCCAGTGCTCCCCTTTGCTGGGCAATGGGGGCTGTCAGGGACCATTGCCCATTCCAGAAGGAGAGGCAAGAGGTGCTGGTGTGTGCCCACCTCACTGATCTCTCAATGGTGAAGGAGGCACAGGGGTGTCAAAAGGGGGATCCTCCTCAGGAGGTTTCCTGCTGACAAAACAGGAAATTCTCTGTGTGCCCCCCAGCTTGTCTGACCCTGCAGCAGCCTCTTAACTCTGGCAGCCTATTTAAATACAGCTCCAGCCTTTCCTCCTTGGGGCACTCTCCAGCTTATACTGCAACACCACCCAACATGACCACAAAAAGAGGCAAAAAAAGAGGGACCCAGTTACAAGCAGTTAATTTAAGGCTTTTTTATCTGAATTTAAAATGGTCACTACAAGTTACAAATCCATTTCCAACTCACCACTCTCTTTAAAGCTTTGGCTCTTTTACCTTTCCTAATCAGTGTTTAATTATTAACAAAAGAGTAATTTTTGGATAGCAAGTCCTGTCTGCTGAGTGCCTTCATGTATATGGCCTGGCAACACCAATCTCCAGAGTGCTTCTCCATACCCTCTGCACATCCAGCTGAGCATCCTCTCAAAGCAAGAGCAAATGCAGCATCTTTTGGATGTACTGTACTAGCTGAAGCTGAGCTCCTCTGCTGTACCTTCAGTGCTGCCTTGTCGAGTCCAGCAAGTTAATTTTCTGAAAGGCAGCAGCTGGCCCTGCTGAGCTGTTTCTGGAGGGCAGCTCTTCCATGACTCATGTCTCCTGCAGCCCATCTTGCTGCACTTCTTTTTTGACAAGTCATTTCTGCCACTCTGGCCGTTGCCCTGCTCTCAGGTTTGCTAAGCCACATAACTGAGGCTTTCAGAAGTGAGTGGATAATTAGTGTCAGGGTCTGAATAAGAAACCGTTCATGGCACAGTAAAAGCTGACATAAATTTAAAGTAATCTATTCCCAGAATCTTCCATTGCTACTGGTATCTTGATAGGGTTACAGGGGCATTATGTGGCATATTTTTGAGAAATCTGCCTTGAGTTCTGCAGAGAACTGCTGTAATGCAGCTGGGAAAATGCTGAGTTGGTATCCGAGTGCAAGGGATCTCAAAACCATGGACAGGGCTGCTTTATCACTTTAAAAGAAAGAAGTCGTGGGAGGGTACGGTGGAGGAAAACTCCTGGCTATTAATAGAGAACATGAGTAGGAGCTTTATTTTGAAAGGCTTCTTTAATTAGTGACATGCAATGCAGAAGCAAGGCTCGTGATGCACTCTACCTGCTGACTTCCCAAGCACAGATCAGAGAGAGGCAGACAGATAAAAGACCATTGCCATGCAGGGGAGTTTTGAATAGGCCAAGCTAAAATGCCCAAATTAAAAAGTAACCAGGACATCAATCAACCTTGATCTTCAGAGGGACTGTCTCTTAAGGTAGGCTACTGGAGTCAGTACCAGCTCAGACTCAGGAAATTTAAGATCCTTCCCCGTCTTACCTGTCTGCTGTGAGTTTTCCTCATCACCTTTATTTCTCTCAGACCTGCATGATAAGCCCCCAGAGATAACAGCCGTCTCTTCTTACTCAGTGTTGCAGTGTCTTATACAAAAGTGCCTCTGTCTCAGGAACCCTCCTCTTGTGCAGTGCTAAAAGAAATAATATTGCTTTGTGTGGTGGTTCTCCAGTAGCACAGTTAATTTGTGCTTGTGTTTTTAGAATTTCAAATAAATCAACAACAATCATAAGCAACAATTTAGGCAATTTAAATCTAGGAGAAGGGTTGCTTCCTTAGCTCTGTAAGTCACGGCATGACTCCTGGACCCATGAACCCAGCTGGATTTCAGTAGTACATTATGATAGTGGGACTGTTTTGAAAAACATTACTCAGGTGCTTGTGGTCATTATTTGCACCTTGCTTTCAGTAATTACATGTGGGGTGGAAAATCCTCCTTCTAATGAAAGGAGTACTCCACAGGTATGTATGTTATGATGCTCATAAGCAGTAATCAACCCTGCAGGAAAGTTTTACTATGCACATACCAAAAGGAGAGGCAAGGGTGAACAGTCACCAGGCTGAGGCAGAGTTCCTTCTTTCACAGTAAGGTAGTTCCATGGGAATGCTGACTCACCTGCTCCCTGTATAATAGAGGTGGAGAAAAAAAAGCAATTATGTATGATTTCACCGCCTTTCTTTTCCTCCCGCACTGCCATTTCACTTGTGGAGTGGATCTGGCTAAAGAGTCAAGAGTTCTCTGTATGGAAAAGCCTTATAAAATATACCTTAGGCTGGATTCATAGAAGTCTGATAAGCAGGTGTTAATAGCTCCCAATCAGCCTCAAAGAAAGGGTAGTGTTTCACTGCTTGGCAAGCCAAATATTAATGTACATAAACCTGTTGCAAATAGTTTGTGGAATAGTTACAGAGTTACTTTACACAAAAGCTGTTAGAAGATCTGCTGGTAGTGTTTATGCAGACTTCCCCACTCTTTTCCAACTGAACTGCATATTTAAGGTTTTCATCACATTCTCTCCCCTTTCTTCCCAACCTGGGGAATCTTGTTCTTCTTCTTGAAAGAAGAACATTTCAGCTCATCTGCAAGTACTTGCTCACCTGCTGGTACTGGTTCATCACCAGTTGTCCAAAGCAGTGTGACTTTTAGCACCTGGCACTCTCAGCCACAGCATTTCACTTCACCAGTTGAGAAGTCACAGCCAGTCAATGACTTCTCTCCCTTGGCCAGAGCCAAATACCAGTGCATTAAATGCTTTCATGTGCAAAAGGGAGGAGACATGGAAGATAGCTCTGAGAAGAGCATCACTACATGGCCTATCATCACATCTGATTACTCATGTCAAGAACTTCAGCTATACTGTTGCTTTCCTGTCCCTCAACTTGACAGCACAGCTGAACTATAACACCAGCCAGAGCCCATCAAGATACACTATTGTTTTTTCTCCTTAAATCACAGGGTCTGGATTCATAGAATCAATAGAATGGCTTGGGTTGGAAGGGGGCTTAAAGATCATCTAGTTCCAACACACTTGTCATGGGCAAGGACACCTTTCATTAGACCAGATCTGTATAGGCTCAGAGCCTTATACAATCTGGCCTCAAACACATCCAGGGATGGAGCATGCACAGTTGTTTAGGGCAACCCATTCCAGTGCCTCACCACCCTCACTGTAAAGAATCTCTTCATACCATCTAATCTAAACCTGCCCTCTTTCAGTTTGAAGCCATTCCTTCTTGTCCCGTCACTACATGTTCCTGTAAAAAGCCTCTCTCCATCTGTCCTGTGGGTCCCCTTCAGGTACTGGAAGGCCTCAGATAGGTCACCCCGAGCCTTCTCTTCTCCAGGTTGAACAACCCAAATTCTCTGAGCATTTCCTCATAGGAGAAGTGTTCCATCCCTCTAAACGTCCTGGCATCTCTCTTACAGATTCACTCCAACAGGTCCATGTCCTTCCTGTGCTGAGGATTCCAGAGCTGGACTCAATACTCTATGTGGGGATGTCTCTAGAGTGGAATAGAGGGGCAGAGCTGACCTCTTGGCCACACTGCTTTTGATGCAGTAGCTGTGATAGCCCTGATGAGCTGAAGACATGAGGAAGGTAAAAAGAGACAGGTTGCTCAAAATGCCCCTTTGTCCTTTTGTTCATGGTTCTGGTGAAAACATGATTTCCCCCTAAAGAGCACTGGCTCCCAGGGCTCTTCAGATCCCCATCTCCCACTTTGTGCCAGAACTTCAATGCTGTTGCTCTCACACTAAGGCTGGTTATTTTATCAGCTTCAAGGAAATGCAGAAAGGACAAAACCCACAGGGCTTGGAGGGCCCATTGAGTGTTCATTATCACAGGTCTGCTGTCCACTTGCCTTTGTTATTCCATGATTGTGGAAAACTGGGAATAGTGGATGCACAGCCCCCCCAGCCCACCTGACCCAGCATGGCTGCCTGGATTTTACCAGGCCGTAGCCAGCTAATCCCTGCTGGAAGTTAAATTTCTGTAAGACAGCAGGGCTCGATGCACTGCCAGGCACCACAGCAGCAAGTGGGGGCACACAGGTAAGACCTCAGGTCAGGACTCTCCTCGCTGCCCAACACTGTGCCTTTGAGGCTGGCAGGGCTGCCTGTGCCTTAAAATGCCTTTTCTCCCATCCCCTCCCAGCCCTCACCCAGGATCTTGCTTTATCTCATTAGATCCGATTTTCAGTTTTCCCATTTCCCAACCGAAATCCCCACGGAACCTCAGTGAGCTGAGTTGCAGAGTTTGGCTGTGGCTGTGCTACTGTCTCCCATATATGCCTCCAAGATGTGGAGCAAAACCAGCCTGGAAATGGGTGGCACCTGCAATGCTGTTGACTTATGCCTGCAATCAGTGTTTGGAGTGTTTTGCAATATTTTTCAAGATGGCAAAACAAATGACCCTCTGTTTTAGAAAGGAGGTAAATTATGAACTCCCTACAGATACCTTATCTCTTGCAGTTATGGAGTGATCAGGACGCAGTAGAAAAAAGAAGCCTGAAGCAGAGGAAACTTGCCTCTGTGTTTTTACACTTTTTCAGCTCTTTCAGTTGCAGAGGTTCGTGGCATTTTGCTCCAATCTTTTGCAGGGCCCTTGCCCAGAAATATCTTGTTGCTCATTGCCACATCTACACATACATCCATGCTGGAATCTCATTTCCCAGCTTAAGTGTGATACCACCATGATTTTGGGTTTTTTTTTTTCCTTGGTATCATGATTCAACTGCAGGTGTGATTCTAAGGGACATGGCTTACTCAAATCCAGAGTAAGGCCAATGAGTGAACTGGCTCCCAGCAAATTTCCCCAAAGCTTCATACTTGTAACCTAAATGCAAGATAGTGGCAAGTTTAGTGGGGTAATTATTAGTCCTGTGAAATGTAGATTCTTTTAAAATCACCTCCACCATTAAAATGAAGGAATAGTAAAAGCTCACAATGTCTTTGCACTGCTTTCATTCTGCTCAGCTGCACACAGGTTTCAACACCCTGTTAGTCTCTGGGCCACAGTAGGTGCCTGTGATGGTCAGTGCAAGAACAAATCACCCTCAGTTGCTGACACTCACCTTCTCCCTGGTGAGGAAACATACATAAGAGTCCTTTGCCACAGCCACAGGCACCCAAAAAACCCTGATGAGACCTCACCCCTTCGTATGTGTGCCATGAAAGGAACATAAACAGGAAGCAAAAGCCACAGGAAATTTGACAACTGAAGTTTCTCTGTTCTTAGAGTTTGGGTTTTTTCTAGTTCTATTGCTATGTCTTATGTCAGTAAAGAGTGTTTGCTTTCTCACTAGACCTTGGGTAAGAAACATACCTGAGGTATTATCCCTTTAGGTTATGGATTGCTTTTTGCTCTGCCTCCTGTAGTGTTACAACCTGGTAATAAGAAGCTCTAAAGATTCACACCAGGGGATGCTGAAACCCAGCCACAGGGACACAGCTTCAGCCAGAACTTGTGAAGACTGTATCAATGGGAATATTGCATTTATTCAAATGGGCTTGTAGAGCTTGGCACCTGTGAATGTTGCTGCTGTCACTTGTGCATGCACTCACTGTCAGTAATAAGACAGCCTTCAGTTGCAGGCTTGTTTCATTCACTAGGACAAGGCTGATAACTACTATTTTGTTTTGAAGTAAGGGAGAAAACGTATGTGCTTTGTAGCATCTCTCAGAGCACTCTTTTTAACATCTTCACAACACTCTGCTTCTCTCAGCAAAATCCTCCAATCTATGAATCTCATAGATGAGCTGTTTTACTCTCAAATACTCCCAACTTTCAGCAGTGAATGAGGAACACTCCATACCTTTCTCCTCCTTCAGTCCTGACCCACCTTTCCTCAGGGATTTCTTCATTCACAGACACAAACTCCATTCCCTCCCGTGTGCTGCTGATCCATGATCCTGTCAAACTGAAGCCCAGGCTGTCCTCAGAGGCAGGACAGAGTGAAAGCTGAAGTTTCCAGGTCAGTCTGTCCCGAATAATCTCTCTCTCTATCGGTCTGCCTGCACTGCGAGCTGGCAGGGAAACAGCACAGGGAGACCTCAGCCCCTTTCCAAAGGTGGGAGCAGCCCTTGATGGGCACCAGCAGAGCTCACCTTCCTTACACACTTGCCTGCAGAGGATCCGTGAGCAGCGTTTGCAGGGCATCCTGGCAGCTACAGCTCTTGCTCAAGAGCTCCACATCCCGGCTGCCGCCAGCGCAGTGGTTTTCCCACGGACAACTTTCTGGAGGTGGCTGTGCTGGTGGCTTTCCCAGCCCATGGCTGGTCATTGCTCTATTCCTCTTGCTTCTCTCTGCTGCTTCATTGTTCTCTTCCCAGCACAGCTTTTTGACACAGCTTGCTTGTCTGTTTTCAAGGCCTTTCCTGAACCCCACGCCCACCAAAGCCATCCTTTCCCCACTGCCCAGCAGGTGCTCCTCCACTTTCTTCCCAGCTGCCACTCCCATTTGGAAGATGTTCTAGAGCAGAATCCTGCAAATCTCCTGGCATCTCTCTGGTCACTCCTTAAAATTCCGCTATACCTTAGAAAAACCTACAGCAGGTCTCTTTCTACACTGTCTGGCATAATTTCCTTGCATCCTTTTCTGGAGGTGCACTGGTCCTGTCTGCTGTTTCCTTTGCTTGTGAAGTCACAGAATTATTTAGGGTGGAACAACTTTTAAGATAATCAAGACCAATTCTTGACTGATTACCAGCTTGTCAACTAGATCACAGCACTAAACACCATGTTCAATCTTGTCTCAAACATCCCCAGGGATGATGACTCCAAAGTTGAGGAGTTTGAGTTGGATGACTCCAAAGTTTGAGGCTGCAAAGTCTGGCTTTCCAGGGAGCTTTCCAGGGAGCTTTCCAGGGAGTTTTCCTCAACTCCCTGAAACGCACAGCACCCGCTACTACTCAGACTCATGGCTGATAGAACCAGCTGCTCCTGGGTACATTTTGTGCCCATCTCACAGGGATGGGCATGACTCTCAGCTAGAGCAGGTGCCTCAAGCTGCTGGTCACTCACAGCTTGCACTTCTCCTTCCCTATCTCCTTTTCCCTCTCTTTCTGCCAAGTTCCATTAAATGCTTCCACTTGAACACAATTAGCACTGATGGTTTACCTTGAGATCATTACTTCCTATATTTAGGGCATTCCATTACTTTCAAGTTATGCTGGTTTAGTCTTTTTTATTGCAGGTTATTGTTGTGTTTTAACTCTGAAGTAAGCCTAGCCCATGCCTGGACTGGGGTCCCTCATAGTGACTGTCCTCCCTCCTTCCTAATTTTCTCTGCTCCCTGCCTGTTCCCCCTTGTCCCTCACCCCCAGTTTTGTAAGCCAGGCTGCTTCCTCTTTCCTCTTCTCCCTGGGATCATTTTTTGAGTATTTTTTCAGCACTTCCCTTTTTGAGACTTGCTGTGCAGCCATAGATGACAGAGATTCAGCATCTTTAGCAGACACTGGAGTAACACTCTGCTCCAGCTGCCTGGGCTGCCTCTGTGGCAGCACATGTTAATCTCATCAACAACTGCACAAAATATTTATAATCAACTCTCTGACTACATTCCTGAGGTCAACATCCAAGTTAAAAGACTCAGTGTAGCTGATGCACTGCTGCAAAGCCTCTTCCCTCCCAGAGGTTTCCAGAGCTGCTGGTCAGTAGTTCAAGGCTGCAGTCAGAGGTGCCACCTTCTCACCTCCTGAGCAGGTGTCCCACCTCGCTGCTGCCCTTCTTGCTTCCCCTGCCCTCCCTCCCTGCTCTCACAGTGATGCCTTTGGGAAAAGCTGATCAAAACCTGCCTATGTTGACATGGCCCAGCAGGAAAAGCCTGTATTCCATACTCCCCAGCAGGGTCTGCCCAGCTCTGAGCCCTGAGGGGACACAGCCCTTTCAGCACCCAGCTGGTGACACAGATTCCAGTTGCTTGCCCTGCTGCTGTCCCTCCCTCTGCTCAGGCTGTTGTTCTGTCGTCACCACAGAGCCAGGTCACTGTGAGCAGCTAAGGCACCTGTTGTTTTTGAACAGATTTCAGTATGACCCAAACCCCCAGTCTTCTTTTGTGACTCACTGGTCAGTGCCAGCCTTTGGGCTTCCCTGCAGAAACCTGGAGTCCTGCGGGCCACCAAGCTCTGTGCCCCACTGGCCCTTAGAGGTGGTCTACAAGGGAGCCCCACTAGAGCAGGGTGCTGGCCAGGGAGGCTGATAGATTTTATGCCTGATGCAGGCATAAAATACAGGGACTAGTGAAAGGGGTGGAAGAATCTGGTTTTCATTTTGCCTTTGGATCAGGGTTGGTCACCCTGGGGGAGGGAAGGCTCTGGAATGATCTTACTGCAGCCATTTAATACCTGAGGGGTTCAAAAAAAACTGAAGAGGGACTTTTTACATGGGCATGTAGTGCCAGGACACGGGAAAATGTCTTCAAATGGAAAGAGATAAATTTAGATTAGATAATAGGAAGAAATTCCCTACTGCCCAGAGAAGTTGGGAATGTGCCATCCCTGGATGTGTTCAAGGCCAGGTTGGATGGGGCTTTGAGCAATGCAGTCTGGTGGAAGCTGTCCAGGCCCGTGGCAGGGGTGTTGAAACTAGACAGTCTCTAAGGTGCCTTCCAACCCAAAACAGTCTGTCAGTCTGTGCTGTCACCCAGCAAACTTTCAGCAAGCAGAAGGTACCAAACATAAGGCCGAGCTCCTGTTGTGCTGATGGAGACTCAGTAAAGCTGGATCCTTCTTCTGATGTTTCTCCCATCTTCCACAGATCTCAGGAGACAATTTTATCACAATAGTGCATGCATTCTTATATAGAACCCGTGCTGGGAAAGAAAAGGTTAACCAAGAATTATGGATTCTTGGCTTTAAATGTCAAGCCTGAAGAGCAGTGAGATAAAAGCCCACTTGGGGTTTTTTTGCTTCCTGAGGTCTTAATAACAGGCAGGTTGAATGAAGAAAGCAACAACACCTGTGGGGTCACCAGTCTTACCAGCAGCCTGGGCAATGGGACCACATGGCAGGTGGGGAAGCCACAGTCTCCTGAGAGCATGTCCAGGCTCAGGACCTCCTGAAGCCACAGCATCCCCATCACCCAAAGGCCATCCCTCATCCAGAGAGCTCATAGCCTCAGCTGAGGCAAGGTGGGAGTGTGCTGGGCATGGGGAGCCAGCTGAGGATGAGGAGGCAAAGAAGAGTGAAGGGGCTCAGCAGGAAAAGCACTCTCTGCAGAGAAGGTTACTCCTGCCTTCAACCAGCCTTTCTGCATTGCATCATGCAGGAGAGGTAGGGGCTGTGCATTTGAGGAAGTGGCTTTTAGCTGAATGGAATAAAAGAGAACACAAAATGTTCTGTGTTCAGTATCAGAATTAGAAAGAGGAAATGCTTGTGTCTGTTAAGAGGGATCTTGCAAATTTAAACCACCCTATTAGTGTTTACTATTAATCATGTTTTTATGCAGATGTTGGTAAATTGCACAGCGATGGCTCTTTCCACTACTCTTTGTAAAGGTCTTGTGGTTAAATAAATAGAACCAACATTTTTAATGGTCATGGAGTACTGTGGTTGGTACATCTTTGCATCAGATACTCTCAAACCACTCAGACAATATCACTACTGCTTTATGCATATTCTGGAAAATCTGCTACTGGCCATCCTTCAGAGGTCATGAAACAGATTTGCATGGTACCTTTCTGTACACAATTTGAAACCAGGAGGACCTATTAGATCCTCTAGGTTGGTCTTCTAACATCCTCTCCTATGGAATTTCATCAGGTAAGTCCCTGTAAAGCTCACCATGTTCAACTAGACAGAAATATTCTGGTCTTGTGCTCAGCAGCACAGGCAGAGCATCATTGCCAGTCCTTTGACAGTGGGGGCAGCACTGGTGAGCTATTTAACCTGGTGTCAAATCTTGCCTGCAAACACTACGCAAAATCACTTTTGGAAAATGACTGCTGTGCATCTTGTTTTCTCTTGAGACACTTAATTATGCAACTGTCTTCATGACAGAACATCTTGGTCTCTAGGAAGAAAAGAACATTGCTTCATTTGTTAGGAGAACACAGGTCCTCATTGTTTTGGATCGTGATTACGCAGGAAAATCTGAACTTCAGAATTTGATTTGAAGACATAAAATTAAAATTAAGAGCTTACAAGGTTTTGTTCTCTCTTCGTCCACTAATTGACTGTCATGATGCAGGCAAAGCAAGCTCTTGCACCAGTCTTGTTTGAAGACCATCACCACAGACACAGCAGAAACCTGTTTTGGGTGGGTGCTGTGGATTTTTGAATTAAATGTAACAGGACTATCAGTGGTATGACAGGTATCTGCAGGGGGACATGCTCCACAGTTGGAAGTATTCTCTGTGTAGGTCTAGGGCAGTAGAGACAACCCTTTTTGCCTCAAAATCAGCCAATACTTGTTTACTCTGATATGCAAAAAGACAGTGTGGCTTTCTTGGGAAGCAGCAATAGGATGTTCTCCCACCCTTCGGGATGCAAGTCCCAGGATGTAACAAACACACCAGCTGACAGCAACCAACCAGTGACAGCTGAGAAAGCGCTGCTGCATCCAGCAGGCCTTGCATTTCATTTTGCATGACTCATTAACGTGGGCTTTGGGGATTATTGTGCTATCTGCAGTGACACCCGGTGGTGACGAAGCAGCAGTTTATCTCTGATCCTGGTCCCTCAGAAAGCCAGAGTTCTGCCGTGACTGTTCTGCTGTCTGCAATCAAGAGCAGGAGGAAATACAGAGCTGAAAGGTTGTTTTTCCTGATAATGAGTACCATTCCTTATAGAACATGAGGTGACAAAACTTAGTTGTTATTATTCATACTGCTAATATTTCTAATCACTAGATATGATTTCATATGCATACTGCCTGGCTTTAACAAAAACTAACTAATATTATAGTTAAAAATACGAATTGCATGTAATTGTATTGTAATCCAGTTAATGTACAGTAATGCAATTTAAAATTTAAGGAGAAACCAGAGAAACTTCCAAGAGCAATGTATCATGGATAAAAGGAGACCCAGTACATGTTAACAACCATATCATCATAGAAGCAAAGAATGATTTGTGTTGGAAGGGACCTTTAAAGGCCATCTAGTCCACCCTCCTGAGGAATACCTTCCACTAGACTAGGTTGCTCAGATCCTGTCCAACCTGACCTTCAGCATTTCCAGGGATGGGGCATTTACTGGGCAACCTGTTCCTGTGTTTCACCACCCTCATCATAAAACAACTTCTTCCTCAAATTCAATTTGAATCTACCCTCTTTTAGTTTAAAACCATGATCCCTTGTCCTGTTGCAAGAGGTCCTGCTAAAAACTGTCCCCAGCCCCCTTTAGATACTGACATGCTGCTCTAAGGTCTCCCTGGAGCCATCTCTTCCCTAGACTGAGCAACCTCAAATTGGTATTTTAAGTAAGTTCTATGGATTTTCTTATGGAGCAGAGTATTAAAAGTGTGGATTTTGTTCTCAAGGAAAAACTGTTTCCATGGGGCTTACCAGCATTAGTGTCTGACTTGCCTTTTTTCATTTAACAAACTCATATTTGAAATGAGTACTCTCAGAGACTGTTATAGGAAGAAGGCAGAATGACTGCATTCAAAATAAGGATTTGCTTAGCCTGAAGGGAGTATGTGACCTGCTGTAAACCAGACAGCATGAGTTGCCTCCCCAGGTTCAGCCTGGGTCTTTACTTTCTTCCTCCTTCCATTGCTTAACATTAAAAGTGTTTATTCAAAATAGAAATTGGCGCTGGTTTTATTGGTTTGGGTTTTTGTTTTGTTTTACTAGAAAAGAGTAACAATTGCTAGGTATCTCCTATGCCATCTTTTTTAACTTCCTAACTAATTTTTGAAAATTGTTGTTCTGTTGGCTTTTCAAGTCAGCAATACTAGTGTCAGACTTCTTAAAAGCCTTCTGGACTTAACAATCCAGATAGTCACAGACCTTCAGGTGAAAACAGTTGTTTGCTTCCCAGCTCAGCTTGGAAACTGCAGCCATGGCTGGCATGAAAGGGCGCCCTTGCCCTCGTGATGGACTGTTCCCTGGCTAGTATATTCACTTTCATGGAAGTGTTTGCACCCAGCCTTTCACCTGACTTGGCTTGGCAAGGTGGTGAGCTAGTGAGCTCATGGATAATTAGGAAAATGTGATCCAGTAAGAAGGTTGAATTTGGGTAGGAGGCAGTGAAATGAAAGATTATAACAAATAGAGTGTTTAGGAAAGACATGAGTAGAATAGGAGAGACAAATAAGACATGAGAAAAAAGGACGTTATCACCTCTTCCTCTGCCTTCTTCAACAGGCTCTGTCCCTACAAGCAAGTCCTACAGACTGGAACACCATCCCTCAGTTAGAAGTATCTAGATGCCTCCTTGGCATTATGAAGGAATCTACTGACTTGGAGTAAAACGCAGCTCTTGTCCTGAAAGGACTTGATGGGAATACCTCATTTCCTAAGCCTACCTCTACTAAATGATTGGTGCTTTGAGTATAGAAATTAATCAGAAAATAAACTCCCCTGTTTTCCAGATAGTCCTCAGAGAGGCTGGATGGGGCTAGGTTTAATTTCTGATTATAACCAATTCAGCACTGTAAGTCTGGCTGTGGTCAGAAAGCTCTCAGATGCACAATGTAGGTTACACTCTAAGTCTGGTCTCATTCATGACCACACATTAACAAATAGTGCAGTTTACTGGAGCAACAGGCAATCTAACAGATTACTGTTGGATTGCCAGTGGTAAATTCACCAGACCTACATAATCTGAGAGTACAGCACTATGCACAAGTGTTTCCAGGCATGCTCTGGTGCAGGTGGAAATCTTACTGGAGATGTTCCTGCTTTAGGGAGGAGATTGGAGCAAGCCCATCATCTTGTCTGCATGGTGGTCACATTCTTATCCTCTGCCATGGAAGATTTCAAATACTTTCTGCAGAAGTGAAAGTGAGATTGTAGTCAAGTATCCTGTCACTGTCATCATGAACAGTGGGGTGGTGCAGCCACTTTTATATGTAAGAGAGGGATATGCAGAGAGTTACAGAAACTACAGAGACTCTGGGTCATGCCCAGGGTAGAACATGTAGTGTCACTCCCATCTGGCCAGCTGCAGAGCTAAGGTAAGATTAATGAGAAGCCCTGCCCATCACCAGGCCATCATGCTCACTGTAATCCCTCCAGCACCCATCTCATGGCACACCTCAGGAAATCCCTTTACCCACATGCCACAGTCTATCCCATGGCTGCAGGCCTCATTCCTCCAACTACTCATTGTAGCTTAGCTTTGGTTTTGTTTTGCTCTGTTTTAAGAACCATTGGAAAAGCCATACAGTAATTTTTCTTTAAAGGACCAAGATGAATTAAGACCAGAACTTGTTAAATCTAAGGGAAGAGCAAACTCTGTGACAGGAGCTTTTCATAGCAAAATAACTAAGAACTCAAGGAACATCCCTATGCCCCATTACTCTGAAGCAGATTAAGAGAAGTCCTGTCAGTCATTTACAACACATAACCTTGCAAATGCTTGTTGTAATTCACAACCTACAAGAAGAAGAGGCCTATTTAATTTTTCAACAGGAGCATGGGCAAGAATCTGCCTAGAAGTGAAATTCCAAGGAGTTAAAATAGACCTACCCTCTCTCACAGAACATTTCTATAAGAGACAGACAAGATTGCTCCCATCCAGCAGGCAGTCATCAGGGAACTCATCTACAATGTTTAAAATTGCCTGCTCTGCATCCCTTTTGAATCTGCATTTCCCATGTCTCAGTCACTACTCTACTACCTGGCTACACAATGGCATACAGTACTTTAAAGTGGGTTCTTTTCAATTTCAGGTGGTAAGGCCGATGGGGGAGAAAAAGGACAATAGTAATTTGAGGAAAGAAGGATAGAATTAAAGTTAAAATTAATCTGCAACAGCTATCAGATCCTAAACAAATAACACACATACAAAAGCATGATACAATCCAAAAACAGTATTTAATTAAAAAAAAACAAGTAGAAAATGCCTCTGGAAGTGGACATCAAGTTGCCAACATTGTTTTTGCTACACAATTTTAAAAGGGTTTCAAGTATTGTTTTGCAAGCACCTATAATAATTTCATATTCTGTCTTCCACTTATCTTAAAAAGAATGCTGCAAGTTGAAATGTCAGCAAAAATGTTTTGCAGTTTTGTAAAAGTCTGTCTTACAAAATTCAGAGTCAAGAGTTATAAATTTCCTGTTTGGAAATGGAATTAGCATTATGAAGTGAAATTTCTCCAGTACCACAAATGTAAGTTTTCACCACAAAATTCAGAGTCAAGAGATATAAATTTCCTATTTGTTAACACGTGGAATTAGCATTATGAAGTGAAATTTCTCCAGTACCACAAATGTAGGTTTTCACACAGATTATATGTGGCACACACAGAGCCAACCCATTATTATTTAAGGCTAAAGAGAGGAAAGCAGACTGCTCAGCATGCAGACTTCCTTTTGCATTGGTTCTTATAGCCCCAAATACGCCCCAACAGCTCCACCCTTAGGGAGCTGCAGAAAAAGACATTTTGGAAGACTGGTCCCTTGGGCACTCAGCTTCAAGGTCAGAATACACAATTTATTTTGAAACAGCTACCATGCTGATATAATTGTTTTACCTAATATTCCATACAGAAAGTTAGTAAATTATCACAAATTATCAGGAAAAACCGACTGTACTCTAAACATGCTTTGTAATTGTATGCAAAAATATGAAATGGCTGTTTTCCACAGTTTATGCCCAAAAGTGTAAAAATAGTTTAGGTTACTTTATAACCTAAACTTTAAGAACTTGAGTTAAGAAGAAATGTATGATGACACTATATATCATATTACCGCCAGTGACATTCTGAATCTTCTCTGTAGGATTTGAAACCAAACTATTTACAAGAGGTGTTTACTTTCTCTGCCCCTTCAGCAAAGTGAAATGTAGCACCAAAGAGCTCCAGTAAACGATCTGATCTTTCTTCAATCTCCCCTTCCTAATTTTTTGCAATACTCAGAGCGCTACTTTCAAATCTGCTTCAGCTACTCAGCTTTGCATTTCTACACAGCCACACTACATTTTATCTCTAACAACAGACACATATATAACTTTGAGACACTGCATTGTGCCACACACAGTAGTGAACAGTTTAAAAGTGGTGTTTTGTACTAATATTGCATATAAAATGCAGATAAATAGCATGAACTGAAAAATTATTTTAGGAAGGGAAATAAAATTCTTTGGTGAGCATAGAGACAATACATGGAATCTGTTTCTTTGCATTAAAATCCTGTTGAGTTGAGCAGGACTCATACTCTGCCACTCTGCGATTGACACGAGTTAAAATCTGCATGAGTTCAAGTTTCCTTGCGTGTTCCTTCAGCATTTCACACAGTGACTGAATAAACCACGAGCCTTGAACTGAATTCCTCCAGGAGTAATAGCCTGTGGAAGAGAGCAATGCCAAAGTGATGAGACGAGCAGCCTTTGATACAGGACAGGTCAGCAATTACAACAATGCATTGCTTCCAATGGCAACCAATGTTTTTAAATAACTCAAAACCACCAACCAACAACATTTAAATTTTATAATCTCCGCAAATTCCAACTCAAATTTTTTTTTTCAAATCCTGTCATCTTTTATAATCTAAGAAAACCTTAAGTAGGAAGAAAATCAAAAGTCAGGAAGGTATCTTCTGCTGCAGCACTCTTAGTCATTAATCACTTACTACTTTTCATGGGGTACACAAAGAGGTAACAGTACAGATGGAAAATGGGTTTCAGTGTCATTAGTTTCATGAAAATGTGCAGAATTAAAGACTGAACCTACTTCTGCTAAGTGGAAATAAGACATAAGAAGGGCTATGCCACTACCAGTTTTGCTTAAGGATGCAATACAAATACAGTCAATAGACAAATAATATGCTGGTACTTATAATCCACTTCTGCATATCTGATTGGTTTGTTCTCTGAGAATAATATATTTTCCTCTTGCTGTAAATTATTTGCACAATTCCAATTAACTGAATTTCCAGCAGATGAACATTTGAGGGTTTGCAAGTGAGATGGATATATTCAGGGTTTGGTAAGGGTTTTGTAGGGACTGAGAATAGCAACTACTTCAACAAGAAATCAAGTCAGATTCAAAGAAGTCATTGGGGGAAGTAAATATTTATTTCCATGAAAGAACGTATGGGTCTGTCTGAGCAGAAAGAGCGTACTGGGTCTGGCTGAGCAGGAGTTCATTTTCCCACAGCAGCTCTCACAGTACTGTGCCCTGCCCTGGTAGCTGGAAATGTGCTGATAACACCCCAGTGCTTTGGCTGCTGCTGAGCAGCGCTGCCTCCCCAACATTCCCCACCAAGGGGCTGGGCAAGATCCTGTGAGGGGACACAGCTGGGACAGCTGACCCCAACTGACCAAAGGACATTCCAGACAAGTGAATTCACCCTCGGGCTGGGTCCCACTCCCAGCTGTAATGTAGAGCATGAGCACAGGCTGCAATGGATACAGCCCCTCACCTGGAGCTGTGGAATAGGCATACAGGAAGTCTGCCTCTACAGGTATTTTCTGACATATTGTTTCTTCTGAGCCACTGTCTGTCTCAATACCGGAATCTAATTCTGTCCCTCTACAAGCCTATTTGGTAGAAAGAAGAATAGAAAATAATATTAAAATAGAAAAGTAAAGGCAGTGATCATTATAAAAACATTGATAGTTTGTGTTTTAAAATTTGTAATATAATTATTAAAATCTGCAAAAATAACAAGAATTTATGTGTCACATTTCCATTAGACAGACTCAGAAGTAAAGTAGTAATATTTGTTTAAAGCAACTCAGTTTGGGTAAGATAGACATTCATCCAAAAGTGCACTCAGAAACTCATTAAAATATCTAATACTTTATTTAATAGATAGAATTAATGCAATGCCAGGTGTTATAAATACACACCACCTAACAGGGAAAATTGTGCCACTTTAGATCTGAAGAGAATCTTACTCTGAAAGTAATTACATTCAAATCTAGTTTAGAAAGGATTAACTTTTTGCACTAATAATTAGTGGGAAAAGGTATTTTATTTTAACAATCTGATTTGATCATCATTGTTCAGCTGTACATCACCTGAATGAAAAAGAGCTTGGGTTTTCCTGCTAAACTTCTGCACCTGTCACCTCTGAAAAGGCTTGTTAGTGCTTTCAGCTCCAGAGGCCCATCTGTACCATAGATCAATCCTTCGTCGCCATGGCTTAGCAAGATGCAAACAAAACTGCTCCGCTTGCTGTGATCCTCTTCAGAAACTTGAAAGAAAAAAGAGAATTTTCTTAACTTCCTGCACTCTAAAAATTTGGAACATTTGATCCTTCCTAGGTCAGAGAAGTCTTTAAGAACTAATTTGCACATTTAGAAACCTCCAAAGAGTTTTCACTTCCGAACACAAGAAGCTGCTTACTGTACCTCAGGAGGTTGGGCACAGGAAACCCCAAATTAAGAGCCAACCCTACCCATTGCAAGACATGGCCACAGAGCGAGGCCAGGAATACTGTCAGGAGACAAAAAGTGTCTCAAAACAGTGTCTCAAAGTTGGAATCATATACCTCATTCATGCAATAATGGTCAGTCTTGTGATCTGGGATGGGACTGATGGAATACCCTGGGTTTTGGGAAAGAAAGGAGAAATCCTTCCTCTCTTTCCAATTGGGGATGCTTCAACTACTTGGATTACATGGGAATTAAATGTAGCATGATGGCTGTTGCTGTTCCTGCAGGTACTAGTAGTACACTTCTCTCTCACTTTTTACCTGTGGTGAGGTCTAGAAAGATTTCTGAATCCTCTTAATTTTGTACTTACAGTTAATTAAGCTTGATATAAAGTGTTTGTAGTTTTATATTTCTTTTTCATCTTGTGGTATACAAATATCATAGAATCTATATTCTCCAATGTCTTTTGTTGCCTGACATTGTGGGAAATGTACTTGAGGACCAAGACAACTTTTTCAAATTTATGAAAATATACAAACAAGGTTAAAAGAAAGGATCCAAAAGAAATTATGAGTAGTAACTCAAAAAGATGCAAGAGTTTGTAGATGAAAAATAAATCTGAAGTCTTACTGTTTTGTGCTTAACAGAACACTAAATTTCTGTTCTAGAAGAAATGAACTGTTTCAACTTTACTCAAGTGATGTACAGGCAGGCATTTCTACAATTTATGGACAAGCACTGCATTTAGAAGAGTCACATTTACAGCTACTGTCAACAGACCAGCTGCAACAATACTAATGAATTAACCATGTCTGGGAACATTTTCTGGCATAAATATTAACTGGCACTAAAGAACCTACATCTATGTTAGCAAACACTTCCATCAAAAAACAAACAAAAAAAACCCCAAACAACAAAACCAAACACAAAAACCAAGAAAGGGTTGCTGCAGGCTAACTGCTGTTGGGAATAATCACTGGAACACTTTCACTGATAAGTATGGCCTGGGACAGTCTGGGAGAGCACCAGTGGGCATGAGGCCCAGTCATGGCAGAGAACCTTCCAACAGTTAACTAGAATGGTCTGTGTTCCAGGGCTAGACACCTCCAGGCACCATTTAACGTATGGGTCTGGATGTAGCCCAGTCCAAACAAAGCACAACTGACACAGTAGTATAAAGCTCTCACTTTAAAGATGGGTGTTTTGTTTCACAAGTTAAACAAAATTTGAGTTGTTTATCCAAAAGAAAATTCAGTCCACACACCTGCAGTTCTGGTTTCTCAATCAGAACTCCTCTTTGGGCCACACCACTAAGCATTAAGCACAGAACCCCTCTACCCAATCTAGCAGTTTTCTTTCCAACTCACAGAGCTTCAGTGATCCCAGGGTCAGAATATAAACCAGTCTGCATTTAAGTTTCAGCCTTTTTTCCATCCTTCTTTAGAAGATGAGAAAGGATACGGAGACAACAGTCATGGCACAAAAGATGGAGAGACAGCTAAGATGGATAAACACAGAAACTATGATGTACATGTCATCCTTAGCAATAAATCACCAGAAGGTGTGAAATAGCATCTAGAAGAACCCAGAAAGAAGAGATGTGAGGGCTAGAGATGTATTTGGAAACACTGGTTGACTTAATGCACACATACAACATATAATAACTTACCATTTTTCAGTAGTTTAAAAATGCCCTCACATGAAAGATCATTGTTGATCTTTACTTTATATCCCAA